CTCACTACTCATTTATATTCGTTACTGCAGCAATGACGGATCTAATTCTGTTAACCCTAATTTTTTTTTAGCTCGATTATTATCATAAACGTGCGCTTTAAATTAATTTTCAAAATCGCCGCATCCCTGCGTTAATGTATTATAATAATATTATTATTTATAGGAAATTCGCACTAACCAAAAACGGTCGTTTATATTGTTTATGAAGTAAAAATGCGAAATTATAATAATTCGCATCCCTGAAAGAATAAAAATATGAAAATGTTGGGAAATCGACATTCAGTGTATCACAATTCTTAATCAAGCACTATAATTTTTCCCATACGAAATTGTTACTTTCGATATATGACTTTATTCGTGTTGGAAAGATGTTGTGTAACAACATTAATCAGGTCAGAATAACGTCGCATATCAGAAGTGTCGATATTTAGCCTGGAAACTATAATTTATTTTAAGCAGACATAAAAACGTAAAGACATTTGAATTCATACTGTATTTAACATTAAATTAATGACAGAATTCAAGCGTAATATACTAAATTATACAATTTGTGAATTGTGCATATTTTGATAGTAATGACTCGAAAATCGTAGTTTTTTTAATTGTGCCAGTATTCTGTAATGGATGCGATACAGTAAAAAGCTAATGATGGGAAATAAGCGAAAATTCGTTATCGACAATGATGTTTGTAGGTATACCGAATAAAAATAATCACAAAGCAGAACTGTTATCACGTATAATGAGAATGTCGAAAATTCCGATAGTTTGAAAGCATATTAATGTAATTACATTAATATAAATTCTGTTTAATATGTAGGTTATAGTAATTTGCTTGACTCTGGCAGTCATCATCGGACCCCCGGCTGGTATTAAGCCGATTCGATCTGGCGACGACGGTCGTTTCGTCACATCACTGATTTTTTTTCCGCAGCCTAAATGAGTTGACGATGAGCGATGAGGAGAACGTATTATATTTCTGTGGTTAATTACAATGATTGTAACGCAATACGATACCCGAGGTCGGGTAAATTATTATTCATGTTATTATTGCAATAAATTTAATTTTTAATTGTAATTTTTTTATCGTATGTAATATTGATGAGACTGCAATGCTTAGCCGTCAAAAACTAACTATCCGTACGAGCAAGTCAGGGACGATTTTTTACAAACCACAATGGCGAGGAGGAAGAATATTTTGCGTGACATATATATCGCATATCACATTTTTAAATTATTTATATGGATAATATAGATATATAAGAAGTAATTATTGATGCGATGTGGTGTGTGCACTAGGATGGACCTTTAAAATAGACGTTTTAAGATTTTTGCGGTAATTTCCCCCCCCCTCATTTGATTTTAATACCCCAAAAAATAACAACTGCAACATTTTAAATTAATATTTCAAGTTTAAGCCGTGCTCCTGGCGCACTTGAAGTTGGGTTGTTTTGTCGGTTTTACGGAAAAATCTAAACATTGTGCTATAAAACTGGTTCGTTTTGAATTGAGTAATTCTTACAGGCACAAATTTAATAGAAAATGTTACGAGGATCAAATCGTACAACAAAAAAAAAAAAAAAATTACAAGAGTGAGCTTGGGCCACCCTAATAGTTTTTAAGGTATAAAGTGCTTATACCTTAAAAACTACACAAAAAAATGTACCAATTGGAAATTTAAAAACTGTAGTACAGGTATTTCCGAAGAATTGATGAATGATCATTGGCGTATGGTAACCGCGGCGGCGTACACGATCGTGGTTGGCGGTTTGGTATCGCAGTTTTATCGACACGTAATTATCAAAACAATACTATACAGTTGAGTGAAATACTTTGTCTTTGTATTAAATGTTTAATGTTTTGATGAATGACGAAAACGTATTTAAACATATTACGCGCGTCATTTGATTGTGTTTACAGGATGAAACGTTCAAACGATTTCTCGATGCCGTCGGTTGGCGCGATCAGTAATTTACCGACGGGTTATTAAACGGGTATAGGTTATGCAATGTGACGTATACCGTTTAAAAAACAAATACGCGTGAGTCACGATCGTGCGGAATCGCTACCAATACGCATTACGACGGTAAATTCGAAAAATTGTTTTGTATGCCGACAAACGACAATTGGCTTCAGTCAGTCTTGATTTCCCCCCCCCCTAACCACCGTTGGCACACGAGATTGCAAATACATAAAAATGTCATCGTTAGTACAACAATCGTGACAATAATATTTTCGCCGTTATAAAATGATTGCGTTACTTTTGAAACGGACGGCGTGTAAAACCCGTAATAGTATACGTACCGGCCAGCAACTTATTTTATAGGCACCTATGGGAGATTTTAACGGGCGTTAAAACATACCGAAACGGTTTCGAAATTGTCCAATAAGTAGTCGCAACGCGTATAACGGTAAACCATTGTACCCGAGTGCCTAGCTGGACCTAGGCGTATGGTTAAAACCGTACGATATTTATCGGAGCTTTTACACGGGCGCTTGGGTTTGACGATATTTTTGAATGGTAGGTAAATGTTCTCTACCCCGTACCGTCATCGTGGAAAAGTGATTTTCGTACCGATTCGCGTACCGGGTACGATTAATGAAAACACAACATTCTCCGCAGCTGTACATATTTTATAGTCAAAGCTCAATACGAATTTATATTGTTGAGCGACCTGAACACCTGACCCGAGGAAAGAACCGAAAGTAATTTTAGCGAAGACGCTCTGAAATAATTGGTTTTCGTTGTAGGTATTCGGTGCCAAGGTCTGCTGCGATGATAGTTCGACGGACGCCGCTCGGTCGGACGCATGCCGGGTTTCCAATCGCAAAATCCGTCCAACATTGTTTTTACACATCCGAAGAACAAACAAACAATCTTATTATTTACTGTGTATTATTATTATTGTTCATTTAATGACGCAAGGTCGTTATGAAATACCCGTGTAATTAAACAAATTTCTGTTGAGAGTATTGCAAGAGGCGATTTTCCGCCTTTGTCTTACACACGTGCGACACGGGCATTCAGACGTACAGACCGACCGGTGCGTCGGAAACAGAAATGTTGTTCCGTGGGTCCGTTTGGCACATCTGCAACGGGCCGATATTTGGAATGCCGAAACTCGACCAGCGATTTAATATTTTGTTTCGCGCGCAGCGCCCCGTTAAAACTGGTTATAATAATTGTATTGTATTCGAAAGGAGATACGGAGTGTAAGTGAGCCGTTTGTTGCACAGCGCAGATAGCGTTTAGAATGTATATCGCGATAGAGCGGTGTCGCCCCGGCGGTAGGAGAATCGCAATGCGATCAAAAATATTATTTCGGCAATGTATCAGTAAAAAATCAAACACGTTAAGTAGGTTAGGTGAGGTGGTTAGGTTAGGTTCGAAATTAACAATTGAAACGTCGATATTGTTTTCGGGTAGCCCGCTGTTGTGTAAACACCGGATAAGAAATAAATTAATAAAATCCGTTCTTTTTTAAGTTGATAAAAAAAAAAAAAAAAACAAGAGCCTGGGATGCATTAGATAGATTAGCCTTGGATAATTTGAAAACGATGGAGTGAATTTTTTTTTGTCAGTATGGGTTTCAAGATCGTAGACAGAAAGACGATTTTGGTAAAAAAAAATAATACCAAGAGATTAAAAATTGGCTTTTTTCGACAGCTTATTATAAATGTGCCCTTATATTACATTTTTTGTTTATTCTATTATCGTAATATTTCAAAATTTTATTTTGATTTTATTAATATGTCCGTATAGTGGCCGAATCGATCCGGAATTTTGTTATCAGAAAATTATGTTTGCCTTTTCTCTTTATTTAACAATAATAATATATTGCCAGTCGCTTCATTGTTTATTCGTGTTTTGCATTCGATAAACATTGCCAAAAAAAAAAAAAAAAAAATCAATGTTATTATATAATCCACCAGAAAGGAGTTTCTCGTTTAAAAAAAAAAAAAATCATGTGTACCTATACTATAACCCATTATTAACTCGAGTGAATTAATTTGCATTTACTCTGTATACATATATATATATATATTGTTTCGTTTACCCGGCGTCAATCGTCCACAGGTTGGATCTGATTAACAATAAATTATGTTACGTTTACAAAAAAAAAAAAAAAAAAAAGCAAGCCGATATTGCTGATGGGTGCGCCATTTTTGTAGGCGGGAGGTTGATAAGGTAAGATACAAACATTTATTTAATCCCATTTCTGTAAGCAACGATAAACTATTGCTTACGAAAAACGTTTCTGAGCAAAGTTCGTTGGCCGTAATTATTACAGTTTTAATTAAAATTTGATCTTAAAACAATTGAAAAAAAAAAAACTACTACACATCATTCTATTTTTTTTTTTAACCACTAAAGACAACTATCAATAAACCTCCTGTTAAATTTTTAAGAATTTCAGTTTGGTCAAATAATTAAATCCACATGGTCAATCCCCGAGACAACTTCCTCGGTTGTCCCTGCGGTAGTCACGCCGTCGAGAACAAATAATATAATAACCTAATAACAAAAGGATACCGCAACTTGCACAGAATAATTCGATAGGTATGTTTGGTTTTTAATTTTTCCATTACGCCGTTTGTTTATACATGTACAATTGTTTGTATATTATTTTTTTTTTTAGGAAGACGTTATTCACAATAACAAAAATAAAATAAATATTATCCGCGGAGTTGTTTATAGGCTAAACAAATTGCAATGTCGTAATACTATTCGCCTAACTTTAACTCCTTGAAATTCGGTTTAACACACGACATTATTTTATCCTATTTCTATTTAATTTTTTACTAATCCATATGACAAAATTCAAATCAAAAAATCAATTAAAACTGACTTATCAACTTTATTCTGTTTATTAAATTATTTTTTTTTTCAACTTATACTATAGATAAACCATTTTCAACATTTTTTTTTTTTTTTGGTACAATCATTCATGTCACGTATTGTAATAAAATAGTCGAAACAAATTTATTTCCGTCAACAGATTTTAATAGAACTTCTTTCTGCTGCCGTGCTCATGATGGCTGCTTCCGCCACCGTTCTCATGATGACTGCTTCCGCTACCGTTCTCATGATGACTGCTTCCGCCACCGTTCTCATGATGACTACTTCCGCCACCGTTCTCGTGATGACTGCTTCCGCCACCGTTCTCGTGATGACTGCTTTCGCCACCGTTCTCATGATGGCTGCTTCCGCCACCGTGCTCATGATGGCTGCTTCCGCCACCGCCTTGTTGGTAATTGTCTGATGGACTTTGGTGTTCATGTTCCTTGTGATGTTCGTGTTCCTTGTGGTGTTCGTGTTCCTTGTGGTGCTCGTGTTCCTTGTGTTCGTGTTCGTTGTGGTGCTCGTGTCCCCCGTGTTCGTGTTCCTTGTGATTATGGTTTTCGTGACTGCTACTGTGTTTGGACGGCCGGGCCTTCGGTGCACACAACGCTTGCTGGGCGACCACGAGCATCACGACGCACATAACTAATATCTGCGGGGAAAACAATAACAAAAAATATTAAATATAAAGTATAATTTTAACATTAATGTGGTTGAAGAAACAAATTGTTCAATAGATTGTTAAAATATTATTATTAATATTTCAGTTGATGTTTGTACCAAGTTAATTGTATACTAAGCCGAAAGTACAGAAACGAAAAAAATTCAGCAATTGTAACAAATTTGTAACAAATTGCAACAAAAAAAAAATTTATAATTTTGTCAAGTTTAATATTGAAACTTGATACTTAATACGTACTATAATATACTATGCTTTTACATTTCGTAAGGTATACAATTATTAATATCACGTTTTATTTACTAGACCGCAGCAGCACAGAAACGGAACGTGTAGCTTTTATAAAATAGTGGTTTTAGTATTTTTCAAGTAATGGATTTCTAAAGTTCTAAATGCCGATCGGGGTAAAAAGTATGTTTATAATTTAAAAATTCCAGTAAGTATGTATGCTCTTGTTTATCGTTCAAACTTGTTGATGATATTTTATTATTTTTCGATTAAATAGGTATTTAGTTAATTTTTAATTAAACATTTTAAATTTTACTTGCAATTATTGGCTATAAGTTAAGTAGCTGGTACAAAACGATGAGTGAATAAGACTCGAGTCACGTTTCAGAAGATTGAGTCAAATGTGTTATGTTGTTTTTATTTTATTTTAATGGTATGATGATTAACTCGGGGAAAATACTATTAAACTATCGATAACCGTTAAAAATAATGATAAAAAATGACGAACAGGTTGTTTGTGCATTTCATATTAATTATAATTTATTATTTTTAAGTAAGCACGTTTTTTAAATCATTTGTAACTACTTTTAAGAACGTTTGTTTTTCTATTATTTATAGTTCTGTGCATAGATAATTAATGCAGTAATAAAATGAAAAAATACAATTGTTGATAATGTTTAAAACAATTAATATACACAGGTAGTTATGATTATTATTTACTATTGTGTTAACGATGTGTGATAACAGGTCATTGTTCGGTAAGTAATCATTAAATACATAAGATCATGAAAAAAAAAAAATTGCTTTTTAAACCGAATATTTTCAAAACCTATTTGTGTTTGTATTTGTTTTCTTAAACATTATTCCATACTATTAGTAACCATAAGCGTTTAACAAAATGTATTCTCACTCTTATATATTATAAAATACGTATATTTTTCAATGATTTTTGACATTATTATAATATATTTATGAAAAGGGTTCTATATTTCCATATTCCAATAGATTGTTCGTCTTTTTTTTTTTTTTGAATTCTTTGAAAACATTGACTGTTTTGCGTCGTTTTTAATCTGTTTTATATGATAATTAGATACGATAGTTTGCTTTGCAGTTCCCATTCCCTCAATAGTTTTTATTATGCAGCTCTTCTGGGTGTTTCAGGTACGTCCAAATATTTTTCAACCTCTCACATTATCACATCCATAAATATACGTTTATCTTTAAGAAAGTATGGAACGGTTTTCTCACATTTTGACCATTTCATAAAATTTGAAAATGATCGTTTAACCTTTTTATGATTACCTCATTGATGGATGAAGACTTTTGCATTAGTCTACTGCCCGATATCCATTAAATGGGAAGAGATACGGCCGTTTCTACAGACGAATATGATATTTTTGACTGGCACGCTAGAGTAAAATTCACTCACTACCGATCACCCAATTTTAACTTTGAACATTTATTTCAATTCTTTGATTTCTAGTCATTGTTGTGTAGACAAAATTTGTTCGTTTTTTTATTTGTTTAATTCGGTTAAATAACTGCGTTTATCTTTTTTTCTCAAAATACCCAATGCGTTCCTGACCGTAAAATTGTAAGTATTTCATATTTCAAAAAAATCTTTTAGACCTAAAATTACTTATTACGAACTGAAAAAAAGTGGCAAAGTGTTTTATATCCGTGGAACCTACTAGGAAAACGGAAAAAAATTAATGTTATATTATTTAAATTAGCATTCATAAAATAATTATACTGATATCTTTAAATTCGTATTTCTACAATGTAAATGCCAATTTTAAAACGCGAGTACGTTAAATATAACTACTGATTTCGAATATATAAAACACGTGTTATTTAAAATTATAAAACAATTATTATCCTAATCCGGTTTTTCGTGGTGGTTTAAGGAGGTAATCAAAGAGGATCGCAGATGAGCAGCAGGTTTTGAAACAAATATAATAAAACAAAAAAGAGCTAATATTGCTCCACCAGCAGGATATATAATGTTATTAAACCTAATTCATATTGAATTAATAATGATTTATTGGTAAACCATTAGTGATAAAATAGGATTAAACATGTTTTTAAATTCCGTCAGTTTTACGAATTTCGTCCAAATTTGAATTTAAAACGCTTATACAAAAAATTCAACATTTGTCTTTACCACAGAGTACAACTTATAATGAACCTTGTGTTAAATTTCCAAACCTATTTGGCTAAACAATTTTATCTTTATGAAATCAGATAAAAACTAAAAAACTCGAAAATGTAAAACGTCTACAAATAGTTGCTTAAAAATTGAGATTATGTTTTGAAAATTGTATCACTCCTAGAAAATATACGGATAATATACATTTTCTGTGGACATTTCAGGTCTTCACGGTGTGATTGTTAATCGAACAAAAAAACAAAATCAAAAATAATGAAACCGCTAATGCCGTAAACTTTTTCGGTTTTCCTACGTTTTTTTTCACGGTTTTCGCTATCACTTAGAAAACTACAAATAAAATCAAAAGGAGAACGCGGGAATGAACCAATTATAGATCCAAAATAATACGAAAACGCTCTCCGGTCGTTTTTTTGATTGCAACAAGATTTCTGGTAGAAAAATTGTACACAGACACGAAAAACACCTAAAAAATCACACTTCACAGTAAAACTAATAACATATATTCCTCGCTACGGTCAAATTATCAAACTTAAACGGTTCGGTGGAATTATTGTAGAGCAAAACGAATATAAAATGTGTACGAATACGCGTGTTGTTATTAAAATATTAATAGACGTCACTGACCTTCGTGTAGGACTGCATGGCGATTCTGAGACGACTTTTTATAACGATTTTAATATCTGCGCTTCTTTTCGACGGCAAAATGCGACGTTCACTGACGCCATTACGTCCGATGCCGGTGGTTTTTATAGTATTTCACAAATCGATAACCAACCGTGATTACCGTCGTCGGGTGCCGTCCAGGAAACTAACCTTGAAATGATGTTGTTATACCGTTAGTTGTTATGTCCAAGAATCGGTCGTGTACACACAGCTACCTGTTGTATTGCGAGTCTTAGGCGGTGTTTTTCCTCTTCGATAAACCGGTTGAAGCGTATTAATTTTCGTGCTTGTTTTTATCCATCCTCATCGTCATCGTCATCATCATCATCACCATTAATATCATAATAAATCGTGTATTTTTTAATTAAACGAACACATAAGTGATATTTTGTCTTAATGTTTTCGCGCGCGTAAACAAATTATTATTATTTTTTTTTTCGAACCGCTACAGATTATACACGGTCGTTTGCTTTATAAATCGTTACCAGTAAACAAAATCGGACGATTGGAAAACAATTCTCCGTTCGCGTTTTTCAATATTAAAATATTTACGACACTAACTATATTGCGTTTTTGTTATTTGCGTTTGTTTTTATTTTTTTACCCCTATTTAATGCTTATAACATACGAAAAACAGCAACAACAACGTAAAAACAATTTAATTCATACTTTTGTTCTGGATAAAAAGAAAAGTTTAAACTGGATCCCATTTTTCCTAACGTTTTTTCGTTAGCAATGGCTTATCGTTGCTTACAGGTGTACTTTAAATTACTTACAACAGTGGCTGCACCCAACCCCGTTATCCCAGGACATCTTTTTCTTCATTTAGACTAGAGGCTATTAAAAGATAGAAGTAATAATTTTCAAATTTAACAGAATCAGAGAAAATTTGATTAACCACCATCAACTCCCTTAAAAGTGTACATATAGGTACATTTTTGTAATTGTTATTATTTTCGGTCGGCTTGAATTGAATTCAAACAAAGCTGTCGCGGGTTCTATTGGATGATGTCGATTACGGTTTCGACTCGACTCTGTGCTTTAAAAACGCACATTGCTAAACTTTGGCGATGTTTAATCATTGATGTCTGGTGAGGTCTATACAAATGCTCGCATATTGACGAATAACGAGCGAAACGGGGACGCTGTTTCGGGGACTGTCGTTATAATATTGTTATGTGCACGATTCCAGACCGATTCCAGAACTGTCGCCGTCGACCGACAGCGAGTAAACCCGTTTGTGATTTTCATCAGCGTACATTGTAAAACCGCGCAGCTATACTTCGGTCGGCGTTCTCGTGACGAAGGAAATTCCAGGGCTATGGGCACACACAGTGTGACGTATGCGGAAAAAAAAAACGATATGAACCGACCGGAAAAAAAAACAAAAAAAAAACAACCCATTACAAATAAATTAACCAAATATATTAATGTAAACGGCGGCGGTTAAAAATATCGTTAAAACCAGTCGGCGGCGCGTTATGAGGAAATCGTCGTTATCTAGTCGACGGTTGTAATGTTATTTAAATACAAGCGCGTGTGACGTGTATTTTAACCCACACCCATACAGCGAACGCGTTTTGTTTTCGTTCACGAAAAACGTTAATAATTTATAACAGATCGTAAGCGATAGCGCTGGTTATAAAATACAATAATTTTTTTTTAAAACCGTTGCGGGTCATTGCGGCCGCGGATGCGTAACTGTCGGCGCAAATCGTTCGAAATTAACGGTGTATACGCAGGGGACGTCGTCGTTTGTAAACGCACAATAATATACATCGATTTTTCCGGGGTTTCGGGCGGTTGGGCGGTGGGGGCGGGGGTGGGGGAGGGAGAGGGCAACCTTATTATTTAACGGCCGGCGAAAAACCGGATTCGAGTGTCGTCTACGCGCGTTTCCGTTAAAATTACATTTCCTGTCTCGTACAGTTGACGGTGATAATTATTACGGGCGACCGTTCTTGATGCACCGTGGCGGGTATGCAGTGTCACCGAAATTGAGCGGTCAACCGCCTGCACTTGGCCGCCCCTAGTGAATAGGTTTCTACGATATCTGATCGTGAGCGAACTTCCGTTGATGTTGTAATTCGAAAACCGGTTCGTGATGCTGAGGGAATGGCGATGGGCGGTCCGGCCTTCCTCGGCATTTTTTAAGGGTGACGTTTCAGCCTGTATATACACATATTTAATGTATTTTATGTTCGAAACATTTAACTTTCAAGCCGTTTAAAATATTACATTCTGCGTCAATTTATTCGTTATTAATGATTGAAAAAGAAAGTTATTATAAGTTTATAAAGTCACATCGAAATCGATTATCCAACGATATGCCAGCCGTTAATGAATTTTGACTATCAATTTTTCGCTTCACGACATAATATAAAATCACTATTGGGCCGATAATGAATTTCAGCTTTATCGATTTCTTAGACAGCGAAAATACAAAACTATTAGAAAACCAAAAATTTAGAGCCAGTGGCACAACCGGGATTATTCGAACAGGTTTACATTAAACCAATTCAACACATTTACTTTACTTAAAACTACTACGGATGTAGAGGGGTGACCAGACACCCGGAACACTCCCCTTACTCTAGTTGTGCGCCACTGTTTAGAATGGGAAACTACCTTTGGACTCCGTCGTCAATCGAAATAAAATTATATGTTAACACTAAACAGCGCTAAAAAAAAAAAAAAAAAATAACCAAATCGCCGTTAATACATTTTTGGTATAAGCCGATGCAATTTAGTATTGCGTATCGATTTTTGTAATTCAACCCTCAATATGTAATATTAAAAATACAAGTTTAATATGAACAATTTTTCTCATATAATAAAATAAATCAGCAAATTATCAATAATTTACCTTTTTCTTTTCGGCTGGAGTTTTTGGGCGAAATGGTGACATATTGTAGTGAAGGCCAAAGACAACCCGGACACCGAGGTCGTCGTCTACACATTTTATAATAATAAAATTTAAGAGTTCCCAATACGAAACCGATTTCGAAGGCTTTTTCGTTTGTTTTACGTGCACGCGTTTTCAACACGTTCAGGCTGCAGTGCGTTGTAGGAAGACAAAGACGTCAAAACATTATGTCACTCAGAAGGTCTCGTTTTCATCTTCACTGTATTTCGAAGTATTACGGTACCAGACAACGGTGAACGTGTATCGGATTATCGTATTTTTTTTATTTTTTTTTTTTTTTAACCCGTCCACAAACTCGATAAAAACGATTAGAGTTATTCAACAGCGCTGCGAGTAATCGATATTGATCCGCGTTTACCGTTGTTCCGGCATCAAAAGAGTCGTTAAGTGGACGTTGACTCGAAAAATGTTTGTTGCAGTAGTACCTATACAGCGTTTAATTTTCCCACCGGTTGTGAAAATTCGTCTGATGACCCCGTACGGTTTTCACTGTTGAATTTTTGACGACGCGACCGCTTACATTAAATGCAATGTTCGGAATGAACGCATTCAAGTATTAATTATTCGGAAACTCGAACGACGTTTTTCCGTTCTTTCGACATTTGAAGGAAAAAACCGCATTCCGTAACCAGCAGAGCTTCGTCACGAGCAGACATTAAAGCGGCGTCCAACGGAAAAGGGATTCTACGATGTTACTTATATTTTACTCCGAGCGTCCCGAACAAGAAATCATTTTAAGGAACACGGTAATCGGTGATTTGCCAAGCCCTTTAACCGTTTCGCGCCACGCGTTCCCAATCACTGACCGACCTCTTGAACACGTTCGTTTTATCGAACGCGAACACGAACGCTCTCGATTTTTTTAGTGAACGTTCCGAATATTGATTTAATACAGACGTTGCAGGGGCTGCGTAACGCGCGTGGATACGTGCGCTATTTGATGAAATAAAACCAATTACATCGTGACATCGGGGGGCCGATTTGTGCGTAGTTTTTCCCGACTTTAAGGAATCGAGACAGTTATTGAAACTTTCTTTTTTTTCTGGACGATTAACATAATACAAAACCGACCGAGTTTTTGGGGCTATAAAAAGGGCAACAGACGAGTAAGGGTCGCTAACGATATTCTATTTAAACAATATTTTATTTTAATAATTTCATTCACTATTGTAAAATAATGTATATTTTTAGTCAATAAGACCAGTATAATATACAGGTCGTAACACGAATTTCTGATATCCGAAATAACTATTGTTCTGTTCGATATTTTCGTGAAGTTTTTTATTTTCATAAAAACCAGTGCCTTGCGCTATGAAAATAAAAATAGCTCCAAACTAGCTATTTTATAAATATATTTGTTAATGACTTTTATAAACTCCAGACATTTATAGAAACTTAACGGTTCATCATTAGTAAATATTTGTACTGTCAACATGTTGTTTAAAAATCCTAATATTTTAGATTTTGTAAAAACAGTTTTTTCAATAAATAAATAATTTAATTTTTAAAGAACAAAAAAAAATGAGAAATCGCAGGGTGAGGTTAGGTTCAATTATAAATTATAAAATTCAATTATAAAATATAGAGGTTCAATTATAAATTGAAAAAAAGTGATATT